AGCACTGAACCCAAGCCTGACCTGCAAAGATGGGTCCCCGCCCCTGTGCTTTGTTGCGGGTGACCTCCTCCCTGTCTTCCTTTTTTGTTGCGTCCAGCTCCTCCTGGGTGGGTCGAAATGCCGTGGCGGTCCAAGAGGCCCAGCAACTTGGTGCGTTGGCTAGGTGCTTAACGAGCCTTCCTACTTGGCCAAAATTTTGTAGGCAACTCTGCCAGCGACCGCTCGTGGCTAACGAGGAGGCGGAATTAATAGACTTGTGTTGTCTGCCAGTGTGAGCTGCCAGTGCCTGAGCGGACCTGGCTGTGTGGCCACACTGTAAACACAAAAAGTTGGGGGGTTGGGGGTCTCTGTTGTCTAACGGGGTCCCTTGGCATAACTTGGCAAGGTCGTGTCTCCAAATCTCGAAATGGTCCGCATCATGATAGTGCGGTCTGGCATGCATTACAGCAGCCTGTACCTTGGCAAGAACGAACTTGGGACGATTCCCTGCGAGCTCAACCCATTCCTTCTCGTCTGGCTCTGGTAGAGCTGGGTCGCCTGAATGAAAATGCAGGTACGCAAAACCTGACCTGAGGAGGACAAACCAGCCGAGGGGGTCCTCCTGCGTCGCATCGATGAGTATGCGCAAGCTCGGAGGGCTACGCATCAAAATTCTGACAAAGAAGCGGAGCCTGGCAACTGTCATGATCACCTGATGAGGTAGGCGATTCACTGGGCATGCGACGTGTGGGCTTCCGGATGGTTACTGATGGATCATGCTAACGCCGTCTTGTAAACTCCCGCATGTGCTTTCCGAATCATTCGTTCCTGGGAATCGGTGAGTTTGGTCCAGGTAACTGAACCGAACAATAAAACCGAGGAGCTGAGCGCTTCCGAGAGGGTGGTTTTAGTTTTAACAGAAAGGGTGGTCTTTGGGGAAACGGTAGCCTTGATGGGTTTGAGGGCTGCGCGTGCCATGTTACATCTGGCAGACAAATCGGGTCCCAGGACACCTTGAACATCGACGAATTTGCCTAGGATGTTGTGCATACGGACAACTGGGAAAGTAAACCCCCACTTAGCTGAGTGAACAGAGCTGTAACTCCCACCTGGCAGCAACCCTGGAATTTTGCGGGCCCCAGGGCCTCTAAAGGCCGCCAAGACTTTGGTCTTTAAGTTGTGAGGGGTAAATCCTGCACGGCACGAGGCACAATATACAATCTCCGATAAGGCAAGAACCTTGGCTGGTACATGGTCGGTCCTGTCTATGGGGGGCAGGATGGTTCAGTCGTCGACAAAGGAGAGATAACTGCTGGCGTTTTGCCAGTCGTCTTCTCTGGCCACTAGCATAGGGAGTGCTGTGAGCGTGCTCTGTACCGTTAGCTCATTGTCTCGAGCTTCTTTTTTGCACCTCTAGATGAACTTTGCGAAAGACTGCGTTGAAGGTGTCGGTGGCAAAAAGCGTGTTGGTCTGGATCCCACCGAGGGTGCACCAAAGTCCCGAGCCCCACGGACCTGCCAGAAGGATCCCCTCTGGGTTTCCTGGATCAACTTATGTAGATGTTGATGAATGTCGTTCTCAGAACAATGTAGCAAGGGGTCCTGGGTCAATTGTGCCTTGAACCCTTCAAGCAAGAGGGGAGGGATGGACATGATCTCTAGGGCGTGCTGTAGACGCTCGGTCTCTCCTGGAAGGTCGATCGCAAGCTGCTTGACGGTGCTATAACTCCTCCGTCGCCTCCTCCTCCTCCTCCTCCTCTTGTTCCTCTTCTTCTTCTTCTTCCTCCTCCTCCTCAACCCGCTGTCCCTGAGATTTTGACCCCTTCCCCGTAGGCAGTTCCGCGCCCACGACCTGTTTTCCTGAGGGTGCCGACGGGCCCCGTGGGGCCGGGAACCGAGGAACCACGCCCGGACTGAAGCAGAAACCGTGTCGCCGAGATTTGGGCCTCCCGCTGCCCCACGCCGCCGCTCCCCCCGCGCGCGTGCGAGGAGCATGGCACTCGTGGGCTCGGCATCCTCGGCGTGCAAGGTCACCAGCCCTGGCTTGCCGCCGCCCGCGCCGGACCTCGCGCTCTCCGGCTCGACGGCCCCTCTGAGGACGGGGGTGGGCCTTGTGCGGCAGGGGCGGGGCGGGAGGCAGGAGGGGCGGAACAGGAGGATGAGGAGGAGGAGGAGGAGGAGCAGGAGGAGCAGGAGGAGGAGGAGGAGGAGGACGCCAGGGGAGAAATTCCCACGCTGTATAGCAATACCGCCACCCTTCCCTCGTCGCCATGGTTGTTCGCCGCGAAATGCAAGTCAGGACCCACCCCTGGAAAGGTCCGGGGAGTAGCAGCATGGATATCTTTCGTCCCCCCAGGAAGGGGATCGGAGGATTGGTGGGTGAGTGCAGTGGGGGGAGGGGAAGGGGGCGGGGAATGTGGCTGCGCTCCCAGAAAAGTGGCCCAGACCTCTGGGGGCCCGCGTTGCGACATAAATCACACGACGTTGAAGCATCGTGAAACATCATTATTGGGCGACGCAGAACAATGGGGTCGTCTATGCCGACGCCAGCGCGTAAGCTGCCCGCGTAAGAGGCGTGCCGCGCCGGCGGCCGGCGTGAACCATCGCGTAAGGTCGCTATGCCATCTCGCGCAAGACCCTTTTGTGATCGTCGCCCAACTGGAGTCCTGAACCCCATCGTTCTGCGCAAAGAATTCTTCGGGCTGGATTGATCTTTGAGGGCCCCGCGGCCAGAATCTGGGCGAGAATGCCCGGTGTGAAAACACTGCAGCGCCTGGATTTCAGGGCAGAGAAAGAGAGAGAGAGAGAGAGAGCGGCGTGGGGGCGCCGACCAGGAGCCCCGCGCGCCTCGGGCCGCCCCTGCCGGCGCCGGACGCCTGCCACGCGGGCCCGACGCCCTCCTCGCGGAGCGCCGGCAGGTCCGGCCCGGCGTCTCCGCCGTCTGGCCCGGCCCGCCCGGGCCCGCCGCCGCCCGCACTGGACGACGTGCTCCTCGGCCCGCCGCCGCCGACCCGGAGCACGGCGCGCAGAGTAGGAAGAGCCCTGCAGATCTTGGCGTTGCATTCCCAGAGAGATCCGCCGCTCCGACACAGACGTTGGAGCGGCCGATGTGGGGCCGCCTTCTCGGCCTCCAGGGGCCTCGCGAGGCCGTCAAACAACGGCCCAGGACGAATGACCGGCCCCAGGGAAGTGGTCCAGGCTTCGGAGGCCCATGCATCATGCATCGAACAGATTGGAGCGGCCGGCCGGCCCTGCGGAAGGGGTCGGGACTTCGGGCATCCCGTAAGGAAAAAATCTGGACATCGCATGTTTGGGCCTGCAGATCTTGGCGATGCGATTTTTCCACCGAGCGTTTTCGCACGGCTTTGGGCCCCAGGGGTCCCTCACCAATCGACGCGGCTCGAAAGAAGGCGCAGAATAATGAGGTCTAGGGCTTTGGTAGTGATGCTCGCCACGATGCAATTTCTTAGTAACGCTGGATCTCAGGGTCGCCGCCACGGCTGGATTCGCTTCAGGATCTTGGTCGGAACGGACCCCAGGAGAGGAGGTTCAGGGAGTAGCGGTATCGATAATTTCGTGCCAGGCGCGGACCGGCCCGCCCCCGCCGGCGCCGGACCCCTTGCAGCCAGGGCCGCCGCCTCCGCCGCGCAGCCACCTGCGCACGGGGCCCACGTTCTCGGCCGCCGCCGAGGCCAGATTCGGCCCCGCGCCGCCGCTCCCGGACCTCGCCAACTCCGGCTCGCCGCCCTCCGCGAGGAGCCACGTGCGCCCATCGCCGTCGCCGCCGGCCCTGGACCCCTTCCACGCGGGCGCGGCGCCTCCGCTGAGGTGCGCCGGGCGCCCTGGGCCCTCCACGCCGCTGCTGGGCGCTTCGCGGCTCGGGCCGACCTCATCGGCGCTGGACCCCACGCACCCAGGCGCGCCCTCGCCGATTCGCGGCCCCGCGCGCCTCGGGCTGGCGCCGCCGGCCACGGACCTCCTGCACCCAGGGCCGAGCCCGCCCCCGAGGAGCCACAGCCGTCCAGGGCCGCCCTCCCCGGCCTCGGGCAACTGTCGCTCTGGACTGCCCACGCCACCGCTGGGCTGGGTGGACGCGGGCCCCTCGCCGCCAGCGCGGTCGCCCGTGCGGCCTGGCGCGCCGCCGCCAGCAGCCGACCCCACGTCCCTGGGGCCGCCGTCCTCCACGCGCAATCGGGGAAGGCCTGGTCCCACGTTGCCAGTCTCTGGAGCGATGCGCACCGGGCCCCCGCCGCCTGCGCCCGATGCCAGCGGCACGGGCCCGCCGCCGCCCTCGCGTAGCCCGCTGCGCGCGGGGCCCACGCCGCCGCCTTCTGGCTTGGCCCGGGCTGGGCCGCCGCTGTCGGCGCCCGACTCCCTGCACCTCGGGCCGCCGCCGCCGCCGCGGCAGCCGGGGCGCCTGGGGCCCACGTCCTCGGCCTTCGGTGAGAGCAGGCTGGGACCGCCACCGCCAATCCCCAGCTGCGTGGAGACGGGCCCCCCGCCTCCATCGCAAAACTCCCTGCGCGTGGCTTCGCCCCCGTCCACCCTCGGCCTGTCCAGGTTCGGCCCGCCGCCGCCAGCGCTGGACCCCGTGCACACTGGCTCATCGCCGCCAGCACGCCAGCCCGCGCGAACCGGCCCCACCCCGCCCGCCGCCGGATTGGCTCGTCTCGGACCTCCCCCGCTGGCGCCGGACCTTGCCATAGCTGGCTCGGCGCTGTCTCCCAGGGGCCCCGCGAGGGCCGGCGCCTCTCCGCCCGCGCCAGACCCCCTGGCTCCAGGCCCGCCCACGCCCTTGAGGAGCCCCAGCAGGCCAGGGTCGAAGGCGTCCGCGACGGGCGCCGGCCGCCTGGGCGCGCCGATGCTGGCGCTGGACCTCCTGCATCCTGGCCCCCCAGCCCCGCTGCGCAGCGCAGCGCGCCCAGGGCCTGTTTTGCCAGCGACCGACCGCGTGAATGTGGGCGCCCCGCCCCCGCCCCGCGCCGCGGCGCGCCCCGGGTCGCCGCCCTCGACGTCCGGCATGGGCCGTGCTGGCCCGCCTGCGCTGGCCATGGACCTCGCGCACCTGGGCTCCTCGCCTGCGGCCAGGGACGTCGGCCGGCTGGGGCCGGCCTCCCCAGCGTCCGGCGCCGCGCGCCCGGGTCCGACATTGCTGGCCTCGGACCGCTCGTCGCCGGGAGCGCCGCCGCCGCCCAGGGGCCCCTCGCGCCCTGGGCCGAGCTCCCCAGCCTCCGGCATGAGCCGACCAGGCTCCTCCCTTTCGGCGCCGGACGCCGTCGAGTCCGGCCCGCTGTCTCCGCCGCGCAGCTCCGCGAGGCCTGGCCCGTCCACCCCGGCCTCGGGCGTGACCAGCCCGGCCCCGCCGCCGCCCGCCCCGGACCGCGTGCACCCGGGCGCGGCTCCGCCGGTGCGCAGCATGCTGCGACCCGGGCCCACGACGCCAGCCTCGGACAGCGCGCATTTGGGCCCGCCTCCGCCGCCGCGGAGCCTCGCGCGGCCGGGCAGCAGCCCGTCGCTCTTCGGCATGACGCGCTCTGGCTTGGGGGCGTTTGCGCTCGACTCCTTGCACCCAGGCGCGGGGATTTGGCCCAAGCGTCAGGTGCTGGTGCTTCGCGCCTGCACCCAGTGCCCTCCGTCCTCCGACGTCCTTGCCAAAAGATCAGGGCGAGAGCTTTCGTTGCTGTTTTTTGTTCAGTCTCGGGGGGGGGGGGCAGTGTTTCGGGTTCCGGGGCCGTCAAGCGACGGTCCAGTGCGATAAGCTGGCCCTAGGGAAGTGGTCGAGAGTTCCAGGGGCCCCGGGTTGAAACGATCGAGATGTCGGATCTCTGGAGAGCGCGGTGTCTTTCGGAAATCGATTTCCCATTTGTGGAACTAGTGCATACACGTGTGCGTATGGATGTGTATACATATCGAAGACGCCTACGGCGAATCACTGCCGCCCCCTGCCTGTCAGAATCGCCCATGTGGCCGAGCGTTGTGGCAAGAGCTCTGCCAAGCTATCGGATCATGTATTCCCCCACCCGTTGTGGAAACCGTTTGGGGAACCTTTGGGGGAGGATGGAGGAGGAGGAGGAGGAGGAGGAGGAGGAGGAGGAGGAGGAGGAGGAGGAGGAGGAGGAGGAAAAAGGAGGGGGCATCTTGTGGGCCTCCTTGAGCCTCTTGGGAGCCTTGGGGGGCTTTCGGGGGCCTCTTTGGCCGTCTCAGGACATTCCTGGCTCGTCTGACGCTGTCGGAAGCCGTCTTGGGGGCCTCTCTGGGCCGACTTGGGGCCCTCCTAGGGTGCTCCAGGGTTGTCTTGGAGGCTTGGAGGCCTCTTGGGCCGTCTGGCGCCCTCTTGGGGCCGTCTTAGGGGCCTCTTGGGCCGTTCTTGGGTCATCGGGGAGGCCTCTTGGGTGATCCTGGGGCGATCGTTAGGGGCTCTTGGGCCGTCTCGGGCCATCGGAAGGCCGAAAAGCAGCAAACGCCAAAATCCCGCAAGAACCGATGGAACATAAATGATTTTGGCCTCTTCAGGCCTTCCTCGAGGCCCTCTTGGAGGCCTCTTGGGCCGTCTTGGGACCTCTTGGGGTCCGCTTGGGCCGTTTGGGGCCATCTTAGAGCCATCTTGGGCCGTCTTGATGGCCTTCTTGCCGTCTTTCTCTGTCGGAAGCCGTCTTGGGGGCCTCTCTGGGCGGACTTGGGGCCCTCTTGGGGTACTCCAGGGAGCTCTGTCGGCTCAAGTTCATGATTCCAAGTGGGTCAGTTGCTCACCTTGAATTGCCTCCTGCCAGAGCGTAATTTTTGACCAGATACGTATGATGCGGTTCAGCGCGGATGCATAGATTGCGAATCTTGGGCTGGAGCCCGCAGAGTTGCACAGGCGAGACAGGAGGATATTGTCACGGAGTTGCGGAATTTCGACGCGGTGCTCATGGCTGGAACGCAGTCCGTCGACTACCGCCGGAACCATGCATGCAACCAAGGACGATTACTTCTCGAGGCTCCTTTCGGCCCCAGCCCGCACGCGAACCCAAGTTGTGGATGTGCTATCGTGCTTGGCGGGGGCTTGAAGGAATACCACATTGTGGCCAGCTGGTGTTTTCCGCAGGAGGCCCGTGGGATGGCCATTGCAGTTCGAGTCCAGCGAGGACGCCAAGACCTAACGCTAGCTTCTCTGTATTTTCCGCCTCGGGATCTACGGATATAGAAGAAGCATATTTCCGAACAGTACGGGTTCTACGAGACTGGCTTCGAGAGATTTTATCACAGGTGCCGACACGTTCTACGCTATTTTTTGTGACTTGACTGATGGGATGGGGCTCCAAAAGAGAGGCTCGGGCAGTGTGGACTTGCGTTCAGGGGCCATCGGCGCCCCCACCATGGAGCGCGCAGACGAAGGTGCAGGTGCGTTGTTCCGAGCTGTACTGGAGGAGCATCGACCGTATGCGGGCAACACAGCGAGTGGGAGAAACTCACCGACCTTCTACGGCGACGCTTACAGTTCTAGCATTGATTATTTGGTTATCCAGCGGACATGGACGCGTTGGTCATTACATGTTGCACCATCCCTAAGCTAGGAGCCAAGCTGCAACTACAGCGAGGTGCCGCGCCAACGGACCATCTACCGCTGGTGTGCGTAATGAACTATGCTAAGTACTCTCCCGAAGTTCGGCAGGAACCCACTTTGCGATGGGACCGAGATGCTTTGATGATGGCCCTCAAGAAGGGCACGCGCAAGCGAGAATTTCTTGAACACGTACGTGATTCTCTTCAAGCGGTGGACCCCAACCTCATCAATAACAGCGCCTCGCCTGACGACGTCTTCGAGGCGCTGGGGGCGCGCCTCATTGAAGCAGGCTTTTTTTTTGTTCGACGGCTGCGCGACCACCCATTTGTGAAGAATGCCCCTGGCGCCGTGCGGACCGACGACGGTCGCTTCAGCTGCGCGCCGAGATCCGAGCGGGCAATTTCGCTTGCAACGGGGCGGGGAGCGGAGCGGATCGACATGGAACAGGCCGGCCTAACCAAGCAGTTGAAGATCGGGAGAAGGCAGTTCCAGCGGCGCAGACAGAAGCGGCTCTTGGACGAGGCCAGCGAGATGTGGAAGCAGCGGCGCCCGGCGGAAGCCATGGGGATAACGCGTTCGGCAGCGCGGACACGGATAGGGCCGAAGAAGAGAGATGGAGCACTGATTCGACCAGGCCCTCTTCCTGCCCACCAGAGGTTGGGAGTATGGGCCTTGCCAGGCCATGAAGGTGGCAGGGCCGCGCAGCAAGTGGATTGGGCAGCCCTCCGTGAAGAACAGGATGGGCATTTTCAGTGGCCCCCTGACGCTGAACTTTTTGAATTGGCGAAGGCAGAGAACTCAGCTATTCTGTGGCGCACGATCCGAGCGAGCAAACGAAAGGTGGCCCCCACTGGGGCCGCGCCCCCGGAGCAGTGGCGCATGCGTTTTCTGCCTAAGCCAAGAAAGGGCGCCCCGCAAGTGGGGGGGGCCGGTGCTTCGACCGAACCTCCTAGTACTTTAACTTTCCAGTTCTTGGTGAATGCGGGCCCGGCGAAGATCAGGATGCACCAGCAGGCCCCGCCGCGCCGGCATACTAGCTCAGCATGTGGGTTGCGGAAGGCAGGCCTCGAGGGGCCACGAGGGCGACGAGTAGTGCATATCCAACCAACCATCAGTAAGGGCTACTTCGTTCGTCGTCTTCGTGGGGGGCCAACGGTCATGGATTGCGGGTTCGTCAAGGGACGTCGTCGGGAGGAGGCGGTCTTGTGCTCGCAACTTATGAGTCGTCGACTTCGGGGGGGTGGGTTTAGGCATGCAGCATGTTGGAAAGACTCAGGTAATGCATCGGGCAGTACGCATCACAACACATAGGGCCAAGTCGTTGAGCTTCGCGCGAAGCCCGAGGACCGTCAGATTTGCAAGCAGCGGTTTGGCAGAGCCTCATTCAATTTGACGCCGCTGATGGCCCTCTTCAAGTCAGGCATGGAGGCTGCGTGGGCGACCCGTCTATTGTCTCGGCCTTTGTGGGCGCCCTGAACTTTCCGGTTCTATCGTGGGGGGGGGGGGGGGGGGGTTGATGACATGGGATAACCGATTAAAATTATTGGCGGGGGAATGGAAGGGATGGAAGGCAGACGTGTCGCTTCAGAAATATGCTGATGATTTGAATAAGCTCGTCATTGCTGGTCCAGGAGACTCGTTGGCCTCTCTCCTGGATAAGCTAGCGCACGTTGACTGGGGCCTTGATGCGGCCTTTCCCAGCAAAGGGTCGCGGAGAATGCCGCAAAGCAGGAGTTCCTTGTGCGCTTTGCTCAGCGGGGTCATTTAGGGCGCGCTAGGATACGAGCAGGCGATCTTGCGTTGAAGGGACCGGTACGGGAGGAGGCACGGTATTTGGGGCCATTCATTATCATGCGGGATTTGGTTAGGAATGAAGTTGTCCGTAGGTGCTTAGCAGCTCGAACTGGGTTTCCCCCCCTAGTGGAATGTGGAAGCTGACTGGGCTTGCGAGGAGGTGGGGGAGGTTTTTTTTGTTTGGCTTGGAAAGTTTCACCTTATCTAAATAGGATGACGACATCGTGGACTCGTGTTTGAGCCGATTGGGGAGAGCGGCGATGCGTGGGAAGGCGGCGGATTACGAGGGGGAGCATATCACGATCCCCACCAACAAAGAAACCCCATGGTTTTGGAACCTTAGCAAGGAGATGAGGATTAGGCGCCTTAAGATGTGTCAAACTTGGGGTCGGCGCCCGGAACATCATGCCCAGGTGCTGGTGGCCTTGTTCGGCGCGTTTGAGTTTGACAACGGGCCCCAGCTTATACTAGGACGTCCATCCCAATGCGCCTCACTGCGCCAGATGGCCGCGGACTTGGACCAAGCAGTAGAATTATTGCCCGATTGCATGATTGAGCCGATAGCTTCGAATTTAGCACACTTCGCGGATAAGGATGCGATGAAGGATTTCAGTTTGATTGATTTCACAGAGTTGAGGGGCCGAGAGCTCGGCAGGCGGATCCCGCACCCAGGATTCCGCGCGGTGGCCTCGCCATCGGTTGATCCGCCACCCGAGCGGGGCCCTTCGGACGCCTTCACATGCAGGCACAGTAAAAACGGAGTTGAATGTGGAGCCAGTTTCCCTACGAGGCCAGCGTATCTATCACGCGTGAAGTCGGCGCATCATGTTCGAAACCTCTACTTCGTTATCACTCCGACGAATACGTGCATCAACTGTCGCCAAACATTTGCTACCCAGCGCGCGGCAGCACAGCGCATATCTCGCGCACTTAAACGCGGGCGCTGTCAGCGTGAAACAGCTTGTACTCTACTTTCTCTTAAACAGCCCCGCTCGTTGCAATGCCTGCGTTGCGAATATGAAGGAGGTATCCTGGATGATCTCTGCAGCCATCTCGCGCCGAGCCACCTTCCAGGGGCGATTGGGCCGACGCCAGGGAGTCTCCCAGCCAGCAGATATGCCCGAGGCGATGGGGCAAGAGCCGAAGCTTGCCATGCCGTCGCGGCGCAACCTGTCCATCGCCGTCGGAGGAGGCACGGGCATCTAGGGGGGCGACCTGAAGGACGGCGCCACC